ATAACTGACTCGGAGGTTCATGTTTCAGGATATCAGCTACTTCGATGCGATCGCTTTGGTGAGAGGTCTGGAGGCGGAGTAATCCTCTACACAAAGAATTGCCTCAAGGCCCACATTGTTAAACCAGATTGTGACAAAGATGATATGTCAGAAATGCTCTGGTGTCGAATACATGACGGATACCAATCACTGCAGGACCTGGCTCACACCTATTACGCTTCGTGCGAACCCACCGCAGAGGAACAAACTGTCTCTTTATGGGTGACTTCAACGCCCCCGACATAAGCTGGGACCTTCTTCATAGTAATCTCTCACCTGACTCCTTTGAAATTGATCTCCTTGATACCGTTCACGAGTGCAACCTGACACAGCATGTCTTGACACCAACACGGATGGTCCCTGGTCAGATACCAAACATTCTCGACCTGGTTCTCACCTCGGCAACATCTGATGTCTCAAATCTAACGATCCTCCTACCTCTTGGCAATAATGATCACTGTACAGTCTCCTTTTCGTGGACACGACGCCTCACAATCCACGATCATGGGACACTGTGTCGAAATTTCTGGCGCACTGACCAGCCCAGATTAAGAACGACTGCAAGTAACATGGACTGGAGTATTCCGCAATCCTTGGAGCTTGATGACGCATGAGAACGCCTACGATCTATGATGATGCGGCTCATTGAACAGTTTGTTCCAAACTGCAAGAGCAGACCACCATCCAAAGTACCCCCATGGATTGATAAAGAAGTAAGATCCCCAATGAAAAAACGACTTAAGCTGTGGGATCATTTCAAGAGCACAGGATTGACATCAAGCTGCTTAGAGTACAAAACTGTCAGAAATCTATGCACCCTTAGAAAATGAGACAAAATACTACAATATGAACATGGACTGGCCATGGAATCCCAACACTTCCCCAAGAAACTTTTTGCCTACTTGAAGCGAAATGCCAGAACGGGTAGTGGAATTCCCGCTCTATCCTCTTCTAAGGAAGGTACCTTTTTCTACGGCGATGCTGAAAAAGCAAACCTATTGGCTGCGCAATATTCTTCGGTCTACTCAGTGGAGTCACCACTGCTCAACAACTATTTGTCTGCACACTACTCTTCTATGGACCAAGTTGAAATTAACCCCGAAGTAGTCACTAAACTACTCGAACTGGACCCGATCTCCTCCCCAGGCCCAGACGGATTTCATCCCAGCTTCCTCAAAACGATAGCTGAGTACGTCGCCGTCCCTCTCTGCCAAGTGTTTCGGCAATCCCTCGAAGTCGGCTGCCTACCTACAGGCTGGAAAGCAGGTACCGTCCTGCTCAAATACAAGGGGGGAAACGAAGACCCAGCTAACTACTGGCCAATATGCCTATCAGTCGTATGCAAAACCATGGAACGAATAGTCAAGTGCGCCCTCTAGCTACACTGTGTGGATCTAAACCCCATCTCACCTGCTTAATATGGCTTCCGGAGAGCACGCTCATGCATCACTAACTTACGCATCGCCAGGGCAACATAGACAGAAACCACAGGTGTCCGAAAACAGGTTGACGTAATATTCATTGACTTCAGCAAAGCCTTTGATAAGGTTCCACACGTGCGACTGCTACATAAACTCCAGAGATTTGGCGTTACAGGAAATCTTCTCTCCTGCATTGCCGATTTCTTAAGAGGTAGGACAATGCGCGTACAAGTGAACCAAACCCTCTCTGCTCCAGTGCCTATGACTAGTGGCATTCCCCATGGATCAGTGCTGGGACCGGAGCTCTTCCAACTGTACGTTAACAATCTGCCGACTACACTTCAAACCGACTGCTTGACCTACGCCGATGACCTCAAGCTATGGTCAACAGTATTTAGCCTTGAGGATGCGGACAGATTACAAGGAGCTCTAGACCAGCTACACAAATGGTCCATCAAGTGGGAACTGCCAGTAAACCGAGATAAATGCGCTGTTCTCCCAATGCGTAGCACTGAACCGCACGGTGCATGCCACATCGGTGAGCTTCTCTTCAGGAATACCACGCTCGAGAGAGATCTCGGGGTTATCGTGACTTCTGACCTTAGAACGACGCAGGACACGTTGAAGAAGGTGGCCACCGGAAGGAGACTGGTGGGTGCCTTAAGAAGATCATTCGCTCGAATAAGTCCTGAGATTTTTCGACCTTTGTTCACTTCGTACGTCCGTCCAGTCTTAGAATATAGCCTACCCCTATCCATCCGCTTTCAAAGTTTGAATGCACTCTGCTGGAAAAGGTTCAGAGACGTGCATCGAAAGCTGTTCTGGGGCTTCGTGATCTCCCGTACCCCATTCGACTCCAGCAGCTAAATCTGTTCTCCCTCGAACTCCGCTGTCGCCAGGGTGATCTCATTTACACTAGGCGCATCCTACGAGGGGGACTTGGAAGTGAGTTACAACAATTCTTCCGGCCCAACGCTGACTGTTCCCCACGAGGTCACACATAGAAACTGTTTAAGCAAAGAAGACAGAATTCGCATGGACGTCACCCTATCCACTAGAGTGGTGAATGATTGGAACAGCCTACCGGAAGCAATTGCAGACACTCCATCCGAGGAAAGTTTCAAGCGTCTGCTAGACAAACATTCTCTGAGAATGCTGGAATCTTACAGATGTCGCTGCAAGTGCGACGAACCCTCGACGAACGTCGTAATGCAACGACACGCATCAAACCCAGTACGATACGGAATCCATGGGGTTGACAAGGGGTTTCCCTCCTGCTCTCTACAACTAAATGAACTCAATACGTAACATGAAAGCTTCTGTACATGACACTGCTCATCTGTTTCCCGCATAATCATACTGGTGCCGCTTAGGGTCATCTTGGGCGCTGGTGAAAACACCTATTCTGGTGGGTATGGTATCTGTTTCGAGGGTTTACTGTAATACGTTGTGTCACTATTCCAATTGTGCTATTGGATGTTTCGTATATATATATATATTATATATGAGAATATGCCCCATGCTGAGGTTGATGTTGCATTCTTGATACTTCTTCACCGCAGTTGGGCTAAACCAACTTACACCTAACCTAGATCTTTTTAAGCCGGATAAATTTCATTCCACTTTATTTGGTTTGTTCTGCCTATATGAATAATCTTCTATTAACTGGCCACGTTGCTTACGCTAATTGCCGTTGTCTTCGATAACTATGTTGCGTTTGTCGCATTTTTAAGTAACGTGTGGACATTTCTTACTTATCGCGAATTCGTTGCTAACCAACTTACCTCATATGCTAATTTAGCGAAGAGTTATGCCACCGTATCTGTATGTATTATTGGATTTATTTTATTTCATCCTGTCGTTTCAAGTGAATAGTTGTTGCTTGATATCCCCGGTGTGGCTGCGCTTGATGTGCATGTTTACAAGGTGCCTACCTGTCTGTTACCCACTACCTCGTCCATCTGGCTCCAGGAGACAGTTGGTCGTTGCTAGAGGGGACGGGGTGCACGGTCCTTGTGGCCGTGCTAGGCTCGAAGAGCGGTTCCATGCACTCAGTGTGGAGCGGACTACGGTCCAGCCGCCGCCTTGTGTGCGATTGATTCCCCACATACAATGTGCTTGTGTTTGCCTGTGAAGGAGTGTGGGCCGGCTCCGTTGATGAAACGTGGCTCCCATCCACATGTCTCCCGGTCTTATTCCTTCGGGTTTACACTGGATATGGGGTGTGTGGTTGGAGCTGTGGGTGGTGCAGCTTAAGCCACCCATGGTCCCTGTGTAGGCGCAGGCGTCCTGTGACTGGCCACCGTGAGGTAATTCCGGAACCGTATGCCGCTAACCATATATGAGAACGATTTGATTCGCTTCGATTGTCATAATTGCCTCCTCTTCCATCTACCTTCTTACTTTTTTCTTCACCCTCGGTCACGCTCTGTTCTTACTTTTCTGGCTGTCGATGCTGATCGGCCTGATCCGCTTATAAGTAATAAAACCCTTACTTCGAAGTTGGCGTCGGTTGCTGTATTCTGACTATCGGACTGGGGTCCCAAGGACGATGAACACGTTTAGTTTGACATGCTTGCTGATATGGCGAAGAGCTGGCCCCAATGACGTTTGTGTTGTGAGGTTCTTTGTCCACCGCTGTCCTCTTTAGACTCCCCCTCCAACTACTATCTCATTTCAGATGCATAATGTTTAAAATTATAGCACTTGTTTCTGAATTTTTATCGTCTTAGTTTTTGTGGTTCGGCACATTAGCTTAAGTGTGTTTCTCACCCTCAGTTAACATGTATTGATGATGATGCTTATGAGTGATTATGCTATGGGCATTCTACCGCTTACGTGGTGCTTGTTCCGCATTCCAGCTCTTACGAACTGCACTGTTTATTGAACACGAAGGAGCTCAGAAAGTTGGTTTAACTTTATTCAAGCAGAGAATAATTTCAGCAGTCCGAAAAACTTAACAGTGATATTCATTTTGTACTGCACTGCGTAGTGACCGATAACGACTTGATGTTCAAAATACGATTTTCAGGTGGTTTTATGCTTTATAATGTATTTCCAGTTAATTTAAAGCTATTAGTTGAATTTATAATTGCTTCTGCCTCCGTTATAATCGATTTATAATTTACTGACTACGTAGTGGGCAGCGTCTGATGGAGCAGCGTTCCCCTTCTTTTGGAAGAGAACTAAAACGTCTTCATTGCAAGCTCAACGAATTTCAAAGGGAGAACAGCGTTCTACGTGCTGCTCTTGGAAAGCGCTCGGTCACATTTCACTGGAAGATTCTTGATTTCATTCGGAGCCTTCACTTAAATGACCATTTGAGGTTATTCTATTCACTTTCGCTCTATCCCTTAGTGATCTAACGCTTAAGACTCCTGATAAGAACCTACCGGGGCACAGCTTTGTGTTTGCTGCAAGGGACGGTGTCTGGAATTTCACTTCGGAAAATGGCTTAAAAATCCTCGAATTGAAAGGCGAGTTCTACTTCACCTGTGAAACACTTTAGCAGCCAGGCAATGTGTATGTGATGCTCTAATCATGTGGATTTATAGTGGAGAAGTTGAGGCCACTGAAAACGCTTTGTTCTTATCCGACTTGATGACATTAGCCAAAGCGCACGAGCTTTCAGATCTTATTCAACAGTAGGAGATGCTTTCTAACCTCCAACTCTCAGATGTGAGACATTGCTTGAACCTTTGCTTAACGTATACAACTGTTTGTATTTGTATGAAGCTGCATACAACGCCAAAGCTAACTTACTGCTGGAACGTAGCTACCTGCTTTTATCCAACACCTGGGTTTGCGTTTGCTTACTCGTATTTATTTATAGGACTCGGTTGCGCCAGATCAACTGAAACAACTATCCCCACTCGTGTTACGCTCTATCTTGGAAAAGCAAACACGATTTCCTTTGCATTTGGCCATAGAACTGCAACGTGTGGATGTCGCGCGCTCAATACTCGAATTGAACACAGCGGAAGTAAGGTTTTATTCGGCACTGTTTCTGCGTTTTTCTATGCCTTGTGTCCTTGGGCAGTTTTGTGAGATCATATACACCTCTCAAGAAGGATTTTCTGGTACTTTCTGCTTAGCTTGTTGTTTCCTTATAACACAAACATACTACACATTGACTGGTTACGAGAAAAGCTTCAACTATGTTGTTGCAATACATCACAATCTTATGGTCGTACAATGGAATGAATGATATTGTACATTATTTTTGTTATTCATCAAGAATGGGGTCATGATTGAAACTGAAAGATAAGCGTGAAGTAGTGGGACAAAAGGTGCAACTCAAACAGCACAGGTCGGCTCATGTTCATTTCAACGCGTATCTTCAATCAAACGTATTGAACGTTGTAGAGACCCGTACTCGGGAGTCCAGAGGCACCAGCCGAGGTTAAATACCAAGCGCATGTCTGCATTTCTCTTGGACAACTCATCGAAAGGTTTGCCTTCCTTTTCTTCCATCCACAATCCGGTCGGGCAAACAACGCACTTCGCGGAGTCGGTGGGCTGGTCACATATTGGCAATCCAAATCGTTTTCCATACCAGTTTACTATCGGCTGCAAGAATAAACGCTCGGGATACGCATCTTATTAATATTATCAATTTATATGAGCGATTACAAGACTCTTGTAACCGTAACGTATTTTTCGGATTCTTAAAGATTCCTTCTGACAATCGTAGTTCTCGCTCGTTTGGTTTGTTATTATTGTTGCTATTGCTGTTATTAGTACTATTATTATTATTATATTCGGCGATTATATGATGAATCGTATAGAGGAACAAACCAGTCTACTTCAGACAAGTAGTAGTAGTAGTAATCTCAACAGTCTATCAACTAGACGCAGAGCCAACCCAGACAAGTAGAGTCTTTGGATGCAGCGTCTAGCCGACACGTTACAATCGCTGAGTCAGTGGCTATTTTGCACTAAATCCCCTATATCTTGCCTCCATTTTTCGATCTGATTTTGGCTTTATCTTGTCCGTTTTCTAATAAATATTATTTTGTGAATTCGTCTTTCCATCCTTTTTGCTCACAGTTGTTAATGGTTATTTACATCGTGGTACAAGGCATAGACGCAGGACTCACCGCACTTCGGCGCTCCGATTACGGTCAGCCAACTGAACTTAACTGTTTCAACTCGTTAGATGTTCGTGAGCAGGTTGATGGTCATGGCTGCGCCGCCAATATTCTGTTAATTTTCACACATCTTTTTTAATCTTATAAGGCCGATGGACACCATCTCGATGAGATTGGCTCTTAACTGATACGATGGTTTAGGTTTTTCAACGATTTGTTGGACTTCGCTAGAGCCGCTCAATACCAGATTGATCGATAGCTAGACTATTTCTGGGTGCTTTGGCCGTCTCGAGTAATCAATTACGCCCTATCCGATGTATTGAACAGAGCAGCTTGAGGTGAGATTCCTACTGCTTAGCCCCCCAATCCTCTTACTCCCCCTCTTTTACTTTTTTCATCCCTATCATGTCATTTTGACTCTTGTATCTATTCACCCTCAACCTTTTGCCACCACCTTCTTTTGATAGGCGTTCATCTTTTGGTTTCGACTCACACGCACTCGCACAGTCTAGATGCTGTCCTATCAATAAGTCCATTTTCAGCCAAGGGGCAAATTCCGCTTCCTCCGCTTCTGTTTGTCATAATTTGGCGTGCGCGTTTTGATGCAGATCAGTCAACAGGTAGCACTTGTCCGGACATTCGAGACCCTATCTGCTGATTACTGGCACCCCACCTGCAAGACTCAAGCTCCATGTTTACCGTATACTTTTACTGTTTACTTTACTGTTTACTGTACTTTCACACTGCTTCTATCCGGTAATAATGAACCTTCAAATGCCAACCAGGCCGGTGTGGGTATTGCACTGAGCCATCGAGTCAACCGTTTGGGTATCACTTTGTACCCTCCACATACAAAGCTTTCTTCTAAGATTGGCAAGGACCCTAATAGAGACGTAAGTGGAGCTAAAGTTGGGTATCAACTGCGAATTGATCGGCCAGCAATTACCAGTCCGCATAAAACGAATTGAACTATACCGTCAATATGATAAACCCGTGGAGTGGAACTCACTCACACTGGCTGAAAATCGGACGCACAAAAATGAGCGATCTTGACCTCCTAAATTAGCATGTTTCGGTTACCTATAAATACAGTTAACTTATGGTGTAGATAGCCTCCCTGTTTACCGAGCCTTGGTCTTCTGTATTCCGTCAGTTGGGTTGGCGCGTGACTGAGAAGTCAGACAGTCGCAGTCTCATAGGGCATCTAGCAACAGTACAACAGTCATCAGTGGCAGAGAGCAGAGGTAAGGTAGAAGCGTTACAACAGACCCCTCTTGGCTACCAGCTGGAAATCGTTCAGAAATCCGGCTGCCTGTTGGATCGAAGATGCGGTCACGAACCGTTTAGCAAAGGCTCGAAGTGCTATCGCCAAGCCTTGCCACCTGTGGCGCCGGCGCCACATCACGCTTATTCTGAAACATAGAGTCTACCATGCAACTATCCATCCAACCCTACTGTACAGTTGTGAAACCTGGCCCATCAACTAGACAGATGTGAAGGGACTACGTTCGATCATCGATGCCTTCACAACTTGGCTCACATCTGATGAGAACACCATTTAAGCAACGAGCTTGTTCGGCTTTTTGTATTTAGTGCAGGAAGCGCTATTAAACCGCTCAGCACCATCATATTACGCACCACGCTCCCTTTATTGGGCCACGCATTACGCACGCCGGTGCAGCGCCTTTGGGGACGTGCATTGTTTACACGATTGGGGTGTGTATGAAACTGAGGACAGAAGGCCAACCCATGATTTAGTCGTGAAGAATACTGTATCAATTTGCTCTGTCGTTTCCTTATTTTTCCATTTTACTGCCACCTGAATGACGTGTATTGCGACACAATAGCTGAAGTGTTTCTCCTCCCCAGCTAACATGTAGGATGGTGATGCTGGTGACATGAGTTCTGGTCTCCGAACAGCAGAGGCCGTTTTGGCTCGAAGCATACTAACAGGCAATATTGAAACTCCCTCAACGATGTAATGATTACAATCTTTATATTAGAAGTGCTATTTTCTAGTACTAGCGTGTACACTTTATTTAGTGCCCACCGAGTTCCTCGATGACCTGGATCCGAATTGACCATATTACCATCAGTTACAGAAGACTTTCAGTCCATTTGGAGTACATGCCTGAATTCCGACCATGCTCTAGTGCGCGCACTCGTGGCGCTCACTCTTTCGGCTTAAAGGATGCACCCAAGCACTAAGCTTCTCACTTTTAACCTGGGCCCACAGTTCGCAACTCAGCGATATCATGATGAATTGACTAACCAATTTGCACAGGCACCTCAAAAAATTTCACATCACCACCAGGAGGCTTACTTTGACCTAAAGGCTTTCGAAAGTCCGTTCAAACCTGGTGATACGGTCTGGCTTAAATCAGCGGTAACAACAGTTGGCGTCTCTACGAAACTGCGAAGTGCTGTTCTCTTCTGCCCACCTAATCTACGGATTGAGTTTGAAGGGACTGCGTGCAAACAAATTGATTGTGCCGTAATGGGTATCCCGTTAGGACCAGTTTGGGCGGATATTTTTCCGGTCCTGCTTAGAAGGAAAATTGCTGCCAGCATCAGCGGAGAGGAGCTCTACAGATGCTATGTGCATGACATCCTAGTACTTACTAGCGGCGAATATTTTGAGCGAATTGTTGCTTTTTTAACATTCTGCACTCCTTAACCTCTCTGTGATGCAAGAGATTGTACAGCAGGGCGGTCTACCGTTTTTGTACGTGCTCATTAGGAGGTGGGCGGGTGGCACACTGCAGCACATGGTCTTTCGAAAAGCGACTTGCAATAGGCAGTATCAGCACTTCTCTAGCTTCGCTCCATTTGCGTACAAGCGCGGCCTAGTCAAAACCCTTTCCTAGAGATCCAAGCGAATTTGCACATCAGACATGCTGAACGCCGAAGAGGAGTTTTTATAAGACTATTGTCGAATGCGTCCCCGGATAAGTTCATCCATGTTCATTGTCGATCGCCTAAGGAGAAACCAACTGTACAAAATGCAGCGAAAAAGGATGTTTAACTGTTTCTACTGTTTAAAGGAGATCATTTAGCCAATGACACTCGGCATACGATCTGCGCTCTCGCATACCTACACCACAGTCCATTTGCGAATTCTCCGCAGCACGCGAAGACTGATTCTCAACGGCCATCCAAAAGACTTGTGTCATTGCGGCCTCGTGTGTAGCCTACCAGTACACCTGCGGTTAAGGTGACGTTTATATAGGCAGGTGACCGTAGCTTGGCTCTAAGGATGGCTACGACTAGTGTTGACTCAACAAACTAGTTCGGATCAACTGAAGAATCGCAACCCTGCCCCGTCAATCGCGAGGCATATATTGAATCTCCATCAGATGGACCAGTCGATCGCGTTCAACGTGCTGTCGCACTACCAGAACCCAAAATGACTGGTCATCATCAAGGCCTTACTTATCTCGAAGTATCACCCGTTGTGTGCACAGAAGCAACTAACACTATCTGTTAGGTTACTTTGGTTCAGAATGATCATTTTGTTCCACTTTGGGTTCCACATGTTCAGTTGTTTGATTTTTGATTGTATTGCGTTTGCGACTGAGGAAAATAATTAAAATACTGACATATCAAGACTCTTCTTTTTTCTGCGCTTAGTAAATGACGAATAAGGTTGAAAAGCGATATGTCGGCTAGAATCGCCTCAAATGCACCGTTAGAATCTCTTTAATGGCTGATGTGCCCCGAATTTGAAACATCCGGACTGCTAACAGATTTCTGGGGCGTTGAAAAGTTCTATCAAAGCAATTGAACATGTTCCGTTTGGCACTCAGTTTTAATTTGCTCGCAGCACTCTAAAACAACGGTTGACCAGTGACATTAGCATTGACTTGGAGCGTTGCAAGAACTCATAAGATGG